ACACCACACACACACTACCCGCCACACACCACACACACACTACCCGCCACACACCACACACACTACCTGCCACACACCACACACACACTACCCGCCACACACCACAGACACACTACCCGCCACACACCACAGACACACTACCCGCCACGCACCACACACACTACCTGCCACACACCACACACACTACCTGCCACACACCACACACACTACCCGCCACACACCCCACACACTACCCGCCACACACCACACACACTACCCGTCACACACCACAGACACACTACCCGCCACACACCACACACACACTACCCGCCACACACCACAGACACACTACCCGCCACACACCACACACACACTACCCGCCACACACCACACACACACTACCCGCCACACACCACACACACTACCCGCCACACACCACACACACACTACCCGCCACACACCACACACACACTACCCGCCACACACCACACACACTACCCGCCACACACCACACACACACTACCCGCCACACACCACACACACACTACCCGCCACACACCACACACACTACCAGCCACACACCACACACACACTACCCGCCACACACCACACACACACTACCCGCCACACACCACACACACACTACCCGCCACACACCACACACACACTACCCGCCACACACCACACACACACTACCCGCCACACACCACACACACTACCTGCCACACACCACACACACTACCCGCCACACACCACACACACACTACCCGCCACACACCACACACACTACCCGCCACACACCACACACACACTACCCGCCACACACCACACACACACTACCCGCCACACACCACACACACACTACCCGCCACACACCACACACACACTACCCGCCACACACCACACACACACTACCCGCCACACACCACACACACTACCTGCTACACACCACACACACTACCCGCCACACACCACACACACTACCCGCCACACACCACACACACTACCCGCCACACACCACACACACTACCCGCCACACACCACAGACACACTACCCGCCACACACCACACACACTACCTGCCACAAACCACAGACACACTACCCGCCACACACCACAGACACACTACCTGCCACACACCACAGACACACTACCCGCCACACACACACTACCCGCCACACACCACACACACTACCCGCCACACACCACAGACACACTACCCGCCACACACCACACACACTACCTGCCACAAACCACAGACACACTACCCGCCACACACCACAGACACACTACCTGCCACACACCACAGACACACTACCCGCCACACACACACTACCCGCCACACACCACACACACTACCCGCCACACACCACACACACACTACCCGCCACACACCACACACACTACCTGCCACACACCACAGGAAGTCTGCCACAGCCGTAAAAAACAGGGACCCTCGCCCCACATCACCAAGAGATCGCTAAAGTTACTGAACGGAGCAGTGGAGGAGAGAGTGTTCGCGCCCCGATCACACCTCATTAAAGTCTTAGATAGCTTTCTAAATGGATAACGTTGATATCTTATGTGAGAGAACGCGAGGTCCGCAGACACTGCTTACCTGCGGGCAGGACTTCTCTCCAGCATCATTACCGCTGCCAACAGTCAAAAGTAACGTTTGCCAATTGAAAGATGTTGCATATGCAGGTTTGTGAAGGACGTCTATGGAACGAGTACACATAAAATGAGCCCCCAGTAACTGACATGTACATTATGAGCAGTTAAAAGCTCTGTACTTCAGGGTACATTCCTTGCACCGCTGCTTTTCCTTATTCTCATATCAGATAAATACAAAAATACAAGTCACAGCTTCGTATCATCCTTTGCAGATGACACAAAAATCAGTATGAAAATTACCTCGGCTGAAGACATTGAAAAACTTCAAGCTGATATTAATAAAGTTTTCGACTGGGCATCAGAAAATAACATGATGTTTAACAGTGATAAATTCCAGGTACTCAGGTACGGTAAAAATGAGGACCTTAAACATAATACAGAGTACAAAACACAATCAAATGTACCCATAGTAGGAAAACAGCATGTAAAGGATTTGGGAATAATAATGTCTGACGACCTAACGTTTAAGGAGCATAACCAAGCAAATATTGCGACAGCCAGAAAAATGATAGGATGGATTACGAGAACTTTCAAATCCAGGGATCCCATCACAATGGTTGTACTCTTCAAGTCACTTGTGTTGTCCCGTCTTGAGTACTGCTCAGTACTCACTTCCCCCTTCAGAGCAGGAGAGATTGCTGAAATAGAGGGAATACAGAGAACATATACGGCACGCATTGACGCAATAAAGCACCTAAATTATTGGGACCGTCTCAAAGCCCTCCAAATGTACTCACTAGAAAGAAGACGAGAGAGATATCAAATAATATACACCTGGAAGATACTGGAGGACCAAGTACCAAATTACACAGTTAAACAACAACGTACTGGAGTGAACGATATGGAAGAAAATGCAGAATAGAACCAGTGAAGAGCAGAGGTGCCATAGGCACAATCAGAGAACACTGTATAAACATCAGAGGTCCACGGTTGTTCAACATCCTCCCAGCAAGCATAAGAAATATTGCCGGAACAACCGTGGACATCTTCAAGAGGAAACTAGATTAATTCCTGCATGGAGTGCTGGACCAACCGGGCTGTGGTGGGTATGTGGGCCTGCGGGCCGCTCCAAGCAACAGCCTGGTGGACCAAACTCTCACAAGTAAAGCCTGGCCTCGGGCCGGGCTTGGGGAGTAGAAGAACTAGCAGAACCCCATCAACCAGGTATCAACCAGGTATGACATTGGAAAAACTGTGTGTAAGAAACATTATCTAAAGAATCTACTAATACCCTTTGGTTCCCTAGAAGGTGAGATGAAGTGAGCTGAGGTAAGGTGAGGTGAGGCAGGTGAAGCGTGGTCTCGCTTCATGCAAGTCGACGTTCAATCCCCGACAGTCCAAGTGGTTGGGCACCATTCCTTCCCCCCTCCCCCCGTCCCTTCCCAAATCCATATCTTGACCCCTTAAAAGTGCTATATAGTCATACTGGCATGATGCTTTCTCCTGATAGTTTCCTTCCCTTGTCACTTATGGACGGAACGTAACGTAACGCTGTTGACAACCAGTCACTGACACGGCTTTCCTGCCGATGCCAGCATGCACAAGAACACAGGAGTTCCGATCAGGTTACCTGGGATCAGCACACTAGATCACCAGTGACACTGTCAAGGAGACAGGCGATAACCATGCACAATGACAGCACACAATAACTATATTTGTGGTGAATATGAAGCTCACCTTCATTGACGGAAGTAATGTCGTTATACCACGCAGATAAACACGTATATACATCGTCGGGTCTGTCTTTCACCTCGACCCATTACAGGCGCTAAGGCCAGAAATTCCGGCTGGCCACATACATGAACCCGCAGAGACAATTTAACGATAAGAAGGTTATATACTTACAGTAAGGCCGGCCCTCAACACTCACACGTACCATCCTCTCATTCAAGTAGCTCCATAGGTGGTCTGACAGCGGGTAGCTCCATAGGTGGTCTGACAGCGGGTAGCTCCATAGGTGGTCTGACAGCGGGTAGCTCCATAGGTGGTGTGACAGCGGGTAGCTCCATAGGTGGTCTGACAGCGGGTAGCTCCATAGGTGGTCTGACAGCGGGTAGCTCCATAGGTGGTCTGACAGCGGGTAGCTCCATAGGTGGTGTGACAGCGGGTAGCTCCATAGGTGGTCTGACAGCGGGTAGCTCCATAGGTGCTCTGACAGCGGGTAGCTCCATAAGTGCTCTGACAGCCTTCATCTGACAGGTGGCGTCTGGAGTAAGTGCCTGTGACAGGCGTCTGGAGTAAGTGCCTGTGACAGGCGCCTGGAGTAAGTGCCTGTGACAGGCGTCTGGAGTAAGTGCCTGTGACAGGCGTCTGGAGTAAGTGCCTGTGACAGGCGCCTGGAGTAAGTGCCTGTGACAGGCGTCTGGAGTAAGTGCCTGTGACAGGCGCCTGGAGTAAGTGCCTGTGACAGGCGTCTGGAGTAAGTGCCTGTGACAGGCGTCTGGAGTAAGTGCCTGTGACAGGCGTCTGGAGTAAGTGCCTGTGACAGGCGCCTGGAGTAAGTGCCTGTGACAGGCGCCTGGAGTAAGTGCCTGTGACAGGCGTCTGGAGTAAGTGCCTGTGACAGGCGTCTGGAGTAAGTGCCTGTGACAGGCGTCTGGAGTAAGTGCCTGTGACAGGCGTCTGGAGTAAGTGCCGGTGACAGGCGTCTGGAGTAAGTGCCTGTGACAGGCGTCTGGAGTAAGTGCCTGTGACAGGCGTCTGGAGTAAGTGCCTGTGACAGGCGTCTGGAGTAAGCGCCTGTGACAAGCGTCTGGAGTAAGTGCCTGTGACAGGCGTCTGGAGTAAGTGCCTGTGACAGGTAGGTGTCTGAGGCAAGTCGCATCAAGTAGGCCGCGGCACTTCCGTTAGTTCCCTGCAGGTCAGCGAGTCACTGAGAGGCGCTGCTGCTTACACCTGATCTGGATTGGTCACCGACGGCTTACTGATACATCTGTTTCGTTCTGGTGATCTCTGACACGCACTCGGGCAGGGAAGGGAAGGGAACTATCAGGAGAAAGCGCCAAGCCATCACGACTATATAGCACTGGGAAGGGTTCAGGATAAGGATTTGGGATGGGACGGAGGGGGGGAAGGGAAGGAATGGCGCTCAAGCACTTGGACGGTCGGGGATTGAACGCCTGGAGGAGCTTGCAAGGGTGTCCTCCGGGCATAACTCTCGGGTCTGTGAACTGACCAGTAGCACCACAGCACAGGTGTCGGCTCCAATCATATGTGCCCATACATGATGCTTAAGGTAACCTTACAACTTCGTCATAGTTCCGCTTGGCAATGGTTGAGGCTGACCCCAGAAGTCACTGACCCCAGAGGTCACTGACCCCAGAGGTCACTGACCCCAGAGGTCACTGATCATCTCTCTCTCTCCGCCTGGCTGGCGTGCCCTCTTGCAACGATTTGCAAGTTCAGACCTGGTGTACTCCGTCTCTCGTTGCTAAGCAACAATTGCTTAATTCGCCCTATGTAAATCCTGCCTGGAGACACGGCGGCCTCTGTATGGCCACAATGATCCAAGTCTTGTGAGCATTCCACAGGCACCCAACACACCACACTTCCATCCTGTGATACGGGATATAGGCCTTCTTGGTGCACTGCTTGGTGCATGCTTGGTGCACTCTGCCCTGCTTGGTGCATGCTTGGTGCACTCTGCACTGCTTGGTGCATGCTTGGTGCACTCTGCACTGCTTGGTGCATGCTTGGTGCACTCTGCACTGCTTGGTGCATGCTTGGTGCACTCTGCCCTGCTTGGTGCATGCTTCGTGCACTCTGCCCTGCTTGGTGCATGCTTGGTGCACTCTGCCCTGCTTGGTGCACTCTGCCCTGCTTGGTGCACTCTGCCCTGCTTGGTGCATGCTTGGTGCACTCTGCCCTGCTTGGTGCATGCTTCGTGCACTCTGCCCTGCTTGGTGCATGCTTGGTGCACTCTGCACTGCTTGGTGCATGCTTGGTGCACTCTGCACTGCTTGGTGCATGCTTGGTGCACTCTGCACTGCTTGGTGCATGCTTGGTGCACTCTGCACTGCTTGGTGCATGCTTGGTGCACTCTGCCCTGCTTGGTGCATGCTTGGTGCACTCTGCACTGCTTGGGGCATGCTTGGTGCACTCTGCACTGCTTGGTGCATGCTTGGTGCACTCTGCACTGCTTGGTGCATGCTTGGTGCACTCTGCACTGCTTGGTGCATGCTTTTTGCACTCTGCCCTGCTTGGTGCATGCTTGGTGCACTCTGCCCTGCTTGGTGCATGCTTGGTGCACTCTGCACTGCTTGGTGCATGCTTGGTGCACTCTGCACTGCTTGGTGCATGCTTGGTGCACTCTGCCCTGCTTGGTGCACTCTGCACTGCTTGGTGCACTCTGCCCTGCTTGGGGCATGCTTGGTGCACTCTGCACTGCTTGGTGCATGCTTGGTGCACTCTGCCCTGCTTGGGGCATGCTTGGTGCACTCTGCACTGCTTGGTGCATGCTTGGTGCACTCTGCACTGCTTGGGGCATGCTTGGTGCACTCTGCACTGCTTGGTGCACTCTGCCCTGCTTGGTGCATGCTTGGTGCACTCTGCACTGCTTGGTGCATGCTTGGTGCACTCTGCACTGCTTGGGGCATGCTTGGTGCACTCTGCCCTGCTTGGGGCAAGCTTGGTGCACTCTGCCCTGCTTGGTGCATGCTTGGTGCACTCTGCACTGCTTGGGGCATGCTTGGTGCACTCTGCACTGCTTGGGGCAAGCTTGGTGCACTCTGCCCTGCTTGGGGCAAGCTTGGTGCACTCTGCCCTGCTTGGTGCATGCTTGGTGCACTCTGCACTGCTTGGTGCACTCTGCCCTGCTTGGGGCATGCTTGGTGCACTCTGCCCTGCTTGGGGTATGCTTGGTGCACTCTGCCCTGCTTGGGGTATGCTTGGTGCACTCTGCCCTGCTTGGGGCATGCTTGGTGCACTCTGCCCTGCTTGGGGCATGCTTGGTGCACTCTGCCCTGCTTGGGGCAAGCTTGGTGCACTCTGCCCTGCTTGGTGCATGCTTGGTGCACTCTGCCCTGCTTGGGGCATGCTTGGTGCACTCTGCCCTGCTTGGGGCATGCTTGGTGCACTCTGCCCTGCTTGGGGCATGCTTGGTGCACTCTGCCCTGCTTGGTGCATGCTTGGTGCACTCTGCACTGCTTGGTGCATGCTTGGTGCACTCTGCCCTGCTTGGGGCATGCTTGGTGCACTCTGCCCTGCTTGGGGCAAGCTTGGTGCACTCTGCCCTGCTTGGGGCAAGCTTGGTGCACTCTGCCCTGCTTGGTGCATGCTTGGTGCACTCTGCCCTGCTTGGGGCAAGCTTGGTGCACTCTGCACTACAAGGTGCATGCTTGGTGCACTCTGAACTGCTTGGGGCACTCTGAACTGCTTGGGGCATGCTTGGTGCACTCTGAACTGCTTGGGGCACTCTGAACTGCTTGGGGCAAGCTTGGTGCACTCTGCCCTGCTTGGTGCATGCTTGGTGCACTCTGCCCTGCTTGGGGCAAGCTTGGTGCACTCTGCCCTGCTTGGGGCAAGCTTGGTGCACTCTGCCCTGCTTGGGGCAAGCTTGGTGCACTCTGCCCTGCTTGGTGCATGCTTGGTGCACTCTGCCCTGCTTGGGGCAAGCTTGGTGCACTCTGCACTACAAGGTGCATGCTTGGTGCACTCTGAACTGCTTGGGGCACTCTGAACTGCTTGGGGCATGCTTGGTGCACTCTGAACTGCTTGGTGCACTCTGAACTGCTTGGGACATGCTTGGTGCACTCTGAACTGCTTGGGGCACTCTGAACTGCTTGGTGCACTCTGAACTGCTTGGGGCATGCTTGGTGCACTCTGAACTGCTTGGGGCACTCTGAACTGCTTGGGGCATGCTTGGTGCACTCTGAACTGCTTGGGGCACTCTGAACTGCTTGGTGCACTCTGAACTGCTTGGGGCATGCTTGGTGCACTCTGCACTGCTTGGTGCACTCTGAACTGCTTGGTGCACTCTGAACTGCTTGGTGCACGCTGAACTGCTTGGTGCACTCTGAACTGCTTGGTGCACGCTGAACTGCTTGGTGCACTCTGAACTGCTTGGGGCATGCTTGGTGAACTCTGCACTACATGGGGCATGCTTGGTGCACTCTGCCCTGCTTGGTGCACCTCCACAGCGTGCACCATGCTTGGTGCACCTCCACAGCGTGCACCATGCTTGGGGGTAACCTTACTCTCAGAAAGTGCCGTGAGTTTTTTATGTTCTATTTTGTCTGAGATTTTCTCAAGGCATTAGCAAGTGTGGCGACTCATGTATTCACCTAGTTGTGCTTGCGGGGGTTGAGCTCTGCTCTTTCGGCCCGTTGCTTCTCAACTGTTACTAACTACTGGTTTTTTTTTCACACCACCCCCCCCCCCCCCACACACACACACACCAGGAAGCAGCCCGTGACTGCTAACTAACTCCCAGGTACCTATTTACTGCTAGGTAAGAGGGGCTTCAGGGTGTAAGAAACTCTGCCCTTTGTTTCTCGCCCGCGCCGAGAATCGAACCCGGGACCACAGGATCACGCGTCCAGCGTGCTGTCCAGTCAGCCACCGGCGTCTGAAGTAAGTGGTGAGTCATGTCTAGTGAGTGATGTGTGTGTGGGGGGAGAAGTAACTCTCCACGGCGCTGGAACCCTGCCCAGTCCTTGTCATTTACTGAATATACTTCACAAAGATTTACTAAGGTCTTCCTTGCATTATTTTCTGACCCTGGAAAATGCTCCTTGGGAAACTGGGTCTCGCTCGGTGCTTTGCATTTATATTTGTTTACTAATATTTTTTCATTGTATTTATTTGGATTTTGTTTTTACTCCGTCTTTAAATTTGTTCATCTTCAAGCAATTTGTTAATGGCTTCTCTTGTAGAGACTAAGATACAATATTTGTTTAATTTATCTTCCATGCTTTAGTTATATTGTATTTTGTTCGATGTTCAGACTGTTTTCTGTGGTTGAGACCTTTCCCTAACCTTTGAACTATTTCTTCTTGCCTTTATATATACTCCATTATTTGCTAGCATGACTAAATGCATTTTGGTATATGTTTCTTTGCCCATTTATGGTTATTATTATCGGAACTTAGAATAATAAGTAGGAGGGATTTTAAGGGCAATAACAGATGTGTGACTTTAATAATTTCCTCACATTACATCGCGCCTGATTAATGTGTGTTCATTTTACCCTGCTCTTAGTTGCCTTGGTGTTGATCAGGTCGTCCTCGCTCACTCCAACAAGGTGGAATAATTATTTTCCCCCGGTTGACAGTCTAAAATGCTGTTTGAAGAAGCAATCTTCATTTTCTTTCGAAAACTCCTTTAAAAAGAGATTTATGTTTTCTAAGTTTAGTGCAAACATTTTGCCTCTACTATCACTTGTTATCATTTACAAGAGTCCATCTCCCAGCAGTCACCCAGACCCCAACACCCAGCAGTCATACAGACCCCAACACCCAGCAGTCACCCAGACCCCAACACCCAGCAGTCACCCAGACCCCAACACCCAGCAGTCACCCAGACCCCATCTCCCAGCAGTCACCCCCCCAACACCCAGCAGTCACCCAGACCCCAACACCCAGCAGTCACCCAGACCCCAACACCCAGCAGTCACCCAGACCCCAACACCCAGCAGTCACCCAGACCCCAACACCCAGCAGTCACCCAGACCCCAACACCCAGCAGTCACCCAGACCCCATCTCCCAGCAGTCACCCAGACCCCATCTCCCAGCAGTCACCCAGACCCCAACATTCTGGCAGTTTACACTCTGACCAGTAACTCTTATTATAGTGCTAACGAAGATTGTTATCTCTGCCCAAGACAGATGAACGTCATGTTTTACATACACGTCGTCTATACCATAGATGCTACATGTCGTCTATACCATAGATGCTACATGTCGTCTATACCATAGATGCTACATGTCGTCTATACCATAGATGCTACATGTCGTCTATACCATAGATGCTACATGTCGTCTATACCATAGATGCTACATGTCGTCTATACCATAGATGCTACATGTCGTCTATACCATAGATGCTACATGTCGTCTATACCATAGATGCTACATGTCGTCTATACCATAGATGCTACATGTCGTCTATACCATAGATGCTACATGTCGTCTATACCATAGATACAACATGTCGTCTATACCATAGATGCTACATGTCGTCTGTACCATAGTTGCTACATGTCGTCTGTACCATAGATGCTACATGTCGTCTGTACCATAGATGCCACATGTCGTCTATACCATAGATGCCACATGTCGTCTATACCATAGATGCTACATGTCGTCTGTACCATAGATGCTACATGTCGTCTGTACCATAGATACAACATGTCGTCTATACCATAGATGCTACATGTCGTCTGTACCATAGATGCTACATGTCGTCTGTACCATAGATGCTACATGTCGTCTGTACCATAGATGCTACATGTCGTCTATACCATAGATGCTACATGTCGTCTATACCATAGATGCTACATGTCGTCTATACCATAGATGCTACATGTCGTCTATACCATAGATGCTACATGTCAGCACTGTGTTGACTTTTTAGTATACAAAAGTGAACACCTTGGGAGTATGGACGTCAATGAGTATACTTATTGACGGGAAGATCAGGATCAACGGCTGGTCAATACTCTCCCAGCGTGTGTAAGAAATATTGCTGGAACAATGGCGGTTATGAGGGCCTGCTGGGCGCTCCAAGCAACAGTCTGTTGGACCAGAGAGTCGAAGGTCATCCTCCCGCAAGCACAATTATGTGAGTACAACTCAAGCGTGACCACAGGGCGGCACTTGGGGAAGCACAAACATACCCTGAACCCTTCCAGGTATACTCCAGATAAATCACCTGTGTGGGGAAAGTGGGGAAATATCTGAATTATACCTGGAGATATACTCCAAGTATACCTCATCACTCCAATATATTGACAACAGACATGATCTAAGTTCACAGCTCAGTTCTGGCCTTCTTTTGTATATTTTGAAGGTTGATACAATCCCAATAATTTAGGTGCTTATCGTGTTTATGCGTGCCATATATGTTCTCTGTATTCCCTCTATTGCAGCAATCTCTGCTGCTCTGAAGGGGAGAAGTGATTATCGAGCAGTACTCAAGACTGGACAACCCAAGTGATTTTAATTTTATGAATATTGTGAGGGGGATCCTTGGGCTTGAAGGGTCTCATAATCAATCATTTTACTAACTGACGTTATATTTGCTTGGTTATGCTCCCTAAACGTTAGGTCGTCAGACATCATTATACGCAGGTCCTGTACATGCTGCTTACCTCCTGTGGGCAGATCTGATTGTGTCTTGTACTCTGTGTTTCGCTTCAGGTCTTAATTTTGTCCATACCAAAGTAGCTGAAATTAAATCACTGTTAAACATCATATTAATTTCGGCTGTACAATCAAAAACATTATTATCATCAGCCTGCAGTTTTTCAACGTCTTCAACGAAAGTAATTTTCATGCGGATTTTTGTGTCATCTTCGAAAGATGAAACGAAGCTGTGATTTGTGTTCCTATCTATATCTGATATGAGAATAAGGAAGAGCAGTGGTACGAGGAGTTCATGCACGTCGGCGTTCAATCCCCGACCGTCCAAGTGGTTGGGTATCGTTCCTCCCCCCCCCACTCCTACTTTCCATGCCAAATCCTTATCCTGACCCCTCCCCAGTGTTTTAAAATCATAATGGATTGGCGCTCTCTTCTGATGGCTCCCTTTCCTTGTCACTTAGTGGATATGATTTAAGAACTAAACTTGCACTCTCTTGTCAGTGTTCTACACTTAGAGAGGCGTGATATACACTTAGTGTTTGAAGCTGATTTGTAAACGATTAGTTTGAGATAAATTTTGTTTGAAGGATTAAGATAATGGGATTTAATGATGATTGTATATGTTATAGTTATGATTAAGTTCTTAATTAAAAATTTAGAAATTATCCCAGGTAAATTCATTATGTGCTGACCCACTGATCTGTGGTGGTAGCATTATGTGCTGACCCACTGATCTGTGGTGGTAGCATTATGTGCTGACCCACTGATCTGTGGTGGTAGCATTATGTGCTGACCCACTGATCTGTGGTGGTAGGATGTACCACATGTGTGGCTAAATATAGACCATCACACCACCACAGATCACGTGACCAACAGAGGTCTACGTGACTTCAAGGGTGTAGCCAACAGATATATGATTTAGGCTGTATTATGCAGCAAGTAGCCACATAAATACACCAATAATTTATTTATTTATTAGTGTGGTGGACATTTCACCCCCTCCCCCCCCCTTACTCCAACATAAAGAAAACATTACCAGACGACTTTACTGACTCATGTCAGCAGCCTCACTCACTGGTGTACTTTCTCTCCAGAAAGTACACCAGTACAGTACAGGAAATACAGTGCAGTACAGGAAGTACAGTGCAGTACAGGAAGTACAGTGCAGTACAGGAAGTACAGGGCAGTACAGGAAGTACAGTGCACAGGAAGTACAGGGCAGTGGGAAGTACAGTGCAGTACAGGAAATACAGTGCAGTGCAAGAAGTACAGTGCAGTACAGGAAGTACAGGGCAGTAGAGGAAGTACTGTGCAGTACAGGAAGCACAGTGCAGTACAGGAAGTACAGTGCTGTACAGTGCTGTACAGGAAGTACAGTGCAGTACAGGAAGTACAGTGCTGTACAGTGCTGTACAGGAAGTACAGTGCAGTACAGGAAGTACAGTGCTGTACAGGAAGTACAGTGCTGTACAGGAAGTACAGTGCAGTACAGGAAGTACAGTGCTGTACAGTGCTGTACAGGAAGTACAGTGCAGTACAGGAAGTACTGTGCAGTACAGGAAGTACAGTGCAGTACAGGAAGTACAGTGCAGTACAGGAAGTACAGTGCAGTACAGTACAGGGCAGTACAGGAAGTACAGTGCAGTAAAGGAAGTACAGTGTAGTACAGGAAGTACAGTGCAGTACAGAAGTACAGTGCAGTACAGGAAGTACAGTGCAGTACAGGAAGTACTGTGCAGTACAGGAAGTACAGTGCAGTACAGGAAGTACAGTGCAGTACAGGAAGTACAGTGCAGTACAGGAAGTACAGTGCAGTACAAGAAGTACAGTGCAGTACAGGAAGTACTGTGCAGTACAGGAAGTACAGTGCAGTACAGGAAGTACAGTGCAGTAAGAAGTACAGGAAGTACAGGAAGTACAGTGCAGTACAGGAAGTACAGTGCAGTACAGGAAGTACAGTGCAGTACAGGAAGTACAGTGCAGTACAAGAAGTACAGTGCAGTACAGGAAGTACTGTGCAGTACAGGAAGTACAGTGCAGTACAGGAAGTAAAATCCAGTACAGAAATCAGAAATAATATGTGCATTCTCTTTTACCTGATGCCGCTGTTCACCTCGAAGTAATTATTACTGTTGGGTGAATAGAGGCACTGGGTGATATGAGAAGCGCCTAACCGTATTGAGTTGTACTTTCTCTCGAGAAAGTGCGACCAGGTGGGTGAAGAGTTAAGGATTGGCGCCCAGCCAATCCTCCTTGGTCAGGAGTTGAACCCAGACCAAATCATTAGTGAGGCGAGTATGTTACCACTGCGCCACCACGACCCAGACACACTTAACTCTCTGACGCTAACAGACCATCAAAAATATTCAATTGCCCGTCCCTGAAGCTCACATTAACTTCCCCCCGTCCCATCCCATCCCATATCCTGACCCCTTCCAAGGGCTATATAGTCGTAATGGCTTGCCGCTTTCTCCTTTCCCCTTCCCTTCCCTTGCGGGGGTAAGATGGGGTAATCTCTTAAAATCTCGTCTGTCTGTATTGGATAAATCGTGAACGTGAAGATTTGAAGGCGGACGATCGATATAATGGGAAGATGGTATAACATGATAATCCCCCGGCATAGATTATAAGGGGCAGTGAGAGGCGGACCCTTCGTCGTTGATGTATGGGTGAGGCGGAGAGCGTGGTGGACCCTCAACGTTGATGTAGGACAGGTTGGTAGAGCGTGGTGGGCCCTCAACGTTGATGCATGACAGGTTGGTAGAGCGTGGTGGACCCTCAACGTTGATGCATGACAGGTTGGTAGAGCGTGGTGGACCCTCAACGTTGATGCATGACAGGTTGGCAGAGCGTGGTGGACCCTCAACGTTGATGCATGACAGGTTGGTAGAGCGTGGTGGGCCCTCAACGTTGATGCATGACAGGTTGGTAGAGCGTGGTGGACCCTCAACGTTGATGCATGACAGGTTGGCAGAGCGTGGTGGACCCTCAACGTTGATGCATGACAGGTTGGTAGAGCGTGGTGGACCCTCAACGTTGATGTAGGACAGGTTGGTAGAGCGTGGTGGGCCCTCAACGTTGATGTATGACAGGTTGGTAGAGCGTGGTGGACCCTCAACGTTGATGTATGACAGGTTGGTAGAGCGTGGTGGGCCCTCAACGTTGATGCATGACAGGTTGGTAGAGCGTGGTGGGCCCTCAACGTTGATGCATGACAGGTTGGTAGAGCGTGGTGGACCCTCAACGTTGATGTATGACAGGTTGGTAGAGCGTGGTGGACCCTCAACGTTGATGTATGACAGGTTGGTAGAGCGTGGTGGACCCTCAACGTTGATGTATGACAGGTTGGTAGAGCGTGGTGGGCCCTCAACGTTGATGTATGACAGGTTGGTAGAGCGTGGTGGACCCTCAACGTTGATGTAGGACAGGTTGGT